CAAATTAATTAAAAGTTATTGAATTTTCTCCTGGATAATTTCTGGGCTGTTCATTCAAATTTGGAGGAGATAAGAGGTTTGGAATGGCATGAGCACAAGTGATAAATGTTAGCTTATGCAAAAGCAACATCCTAAGAATAGTGATGATTCTATAAAACACCCAAAAGGAGTTTTGCATACTTTGGAAGATGCTTTAATGGACTACACACATATATTACACATGTGGTGACTGTGAACTTCTGAACCAGAGACGGTTTTTGTCTCTCTCTGAGTTGCTTTGGAAGTAAAGTTGGGGAAAGAAAAGGCAAACTCTGTTAAAGTTTAAGAAGTACTGAGGACTCAGTATGGCGTCTCTTTCACATACTTCACCTGGAAGTGAAAAATAAGCATGGCTCCTCTCTACAAGAAATCACAAAGCCAGACACTATAATGAACAAGGACTGACTGACTACTTCAGTTATAATTCTGATGATGTTAGTGTCAATAGGAGGAATTTCACAAGTAGTTTTAATTTGTTGCATTAATTGTGAAAATATTCATATCAGAAAACTGATTTCCTATCACCTGTAGAGATTCAAGAAACAGATACTTTGCATGATACATTTACAGAAGAGAAATATGTAAAAATATGCACATATGGTCATTGGTCCAGGGTATATGAATTGGAATTTTCTTTCTTATCTGAGATAGATGAAGTTTAACAGTTCCATTTTAGAAAAGGTTACCTTGTTTCATCTGCCAAATGAACTTCTATAAAATTATATAAGACTAAATATACACCTCAGGAAAAAAGCATCTTGATTAAACATTTGACAAACATACGCAATAGCAAACGTATGCAAGTCTTTTGTTCTATATTGGTTAAAAGTGCAAACACTGACTTTCTAAATAGAACATCCTTAGCCTCACAAGTAAGAAGGAAAGAAACAATGCCCTCATATACATTATTTGTAAAATAAAGGGGATGCTTAAGTTTTGTTAGAAAGATTTTTTTTCTAACAAAAATTCTCAATTAGCATTGTGTCCAGTATAATTTAAATTCTGTCAATGACAAACACACCAAAGAATACCATATTACTGCTATATGATAATGCTATCTTGAATACCATATCATTGATTTGTCCCTATTTTTGTGACATACTTGACAATTTGATTAAATGACCACCTGGTAATTAAATATGGTCAATTTTTATTATGCATGGATTTGACTTAGCTTTTATAATAGAAGACAAGTTCTTAATACAGAAGATAATCATACAACTTAACTTTATGCCAAGCTGTTTTACACCAATTTCCAAGTTTCTGTATGTATTCAACAGCCCAAACACAGTGAAAAGACAAGGTATAGAAAGCACCTAGTCCAAAGTCTGAAAAGTAGAGTGGAAATCCAGAAGTTCCTTGGTGCCTCACTGAGGAGCATTGAGTAGCGACTGGTGAACAATGAAAAGTATGTAGCCTGGGTGGGTGGAGGTATACAGCCAGCCAAGATTTTTTTTCTAGCCTATATGTTAATTGGTTAGAGATGCTCTTCCAAAAGAAAGGTGAGAAGAGAGTAAAACAATTTCTACATGAAACCAAAGAATTCATTTGTGAAAAATGAATAGATTTTTTATTCAAAGTGTCTATGATAGGTCATTGTATCTGACAAACTTAAATCTCTTTTAAAATTGCTCAATATTAAAATGACAAATTTTTAATTCATAATAGGAATAGTTAGCTACTCTCTAAACTGGTCTAGATGTTGTTTGTATGTATGCACACACATGTGTGCTTTCTAAATTTCTCTTAATTGAAGACTAATATTAATGAGAATTAGATGACATTAATGATTCAGCCATGTTTGGACAACTTGTCACTGGCATTATTTAACTGCAACAAAATAGATGAGTGAAAATCAGCATTTCTTTAAAGGTGGTCTTGTCTATTTCATCTTGTGACATTGTTCTTTTGTATTGGAGAAATCCTAGATTGTATACCAATATAAATAACTTTATAGGATTATCAAATATGTCAAAAAACCCTGAAGAATTGCATCTGATAGTTGCAAGGTTATTTTTTTAATGACCTCAAATTAAGGTCCCGAGAGAAACTGGAATTTGCTTCCATATTAACCACACAGGAAGTCCAGTCTTCCAGTGGGTACGGTTTCTCATTTGAGGTCCATCATATCTGGACAAATAATTCTACAGAACCTGGACAATGCTTCTGTGGGGTTCAACATTTTATGTCCCAAATTATTCTGTGAAAAAGAGCAGTTTTCTGTAGAACTAATGTAACTCTAGGCAGAAAAAGAGACTTAGAAGAGTTTAAAAATACCCAAGTTAATTCAGTGCCAAGTACTTATACTCCTGTTTGCCCATCCATAATCACACTCTCCCTTCTTCATAAATTAATAAATTATGCATAGGGTCAAACATGTCCTTGAACTTCTCTAGTACTTACAGACTAAAAAGTACAACTAAACAGAAATAAAATTTGCCTCAAAGTATACTTTAACTCAGGGGTTTCCAATCTTTCGGCTTCCTTGGGCCACAGTGAAGGAAGAAAAAATGTCTTGAACCACACATAAAATACACTAACGCTAACGATAGCTGATGAATTATAAAAAAAATGGCAAGAAAATCTCGTTACATTTTAAGAAAGTTTACAAATTTGTGTTGGGCCATATTCAAAACCATTCTGGGCCACATGTGGCCCAAGGACCACAGGTTAGACAAGCTTGCTCTAATTGTTTCCTAAGAGTTAACATGATTTACCCAGAAAGATTAACTCCCATAACCGTCTCACAGGATGCCGAGCTCAAAGTGAGTACATAATAAACACTTGTCCCTTGCTTTCTCCCAACTGTCATGAGGGCAGAGACTTTGTCTTATACTTTATTCTGTAGCCTAACTCCCTATACTGTTTCCAGTTCAATGCTGAGCACACAGCTTGGAATTCTATAATAGTTTTTTTTTTTTTATTGACTAGAAGATAGACTGACTCAATGATACTGATAGTATAGCAATATGCTTAAAATAAAAGGGAAAAAATAAAGGTGTGGTTTCTCACAAATGGAATATGAAATCTTATTAAGGATTCAGATGGTACAAAAGAGAGGGCCCAGAAACAGACCCATATACATCTGAAAACCTGATATTTGATGTAATTGACATTACAGACCAATGGAAAAAAGATAGGCTCCCAAATAAATGGTACTGGTAAATTGTTTATTCATAAATATATAAAAAGATCAATGTTTGTAGTACAGGATTAATATTTTTATGAATCTGAGGTGGTAAATATTCCTTAAGCGGAATCCCAGAAGTACAAATAATGAAGGAAAAGTTTGATAAACACAACTGTATTAAAATAAAATATTCTGTTCATTGAAAGACCCAAATAAAAACATCAAAAATGCAAGCCACAAAGTGAAAGAAGATATAACCAAAAAAGGACTGATATCCCATACATCAACAAGAACCCAGCAAACAACACAAAGAAAATAAAAGAAAAACACATGGATAGGCACCTTAAAGAAGAGTTACTTTAAATAAAGAGCCCATAAACATGTAAAAAGATGTTCTGCTCCATTTAATGTGTAAATTCTAGTAAAACCCACAATGAATATCACGTCACAAACAACTGGCCAAACAATAACTAAGTCTGGCAAATCAAAACTTGGCAGGATGTGGCACTCTGGAAATTTTGAAGCAATCCTGATAGAAGAATAAATTGGTGCAACCATTCTGGAGAGAAATTTGACAAGACCTAGTAGAGTTGAAAATGAGCATGCCAAACAACCCACCAGTTTCACTCCTACTTATTTATATGTCCCTGGAGAAGCTCCTACACATGAGCTCAAGGAGACATGACTAAGAAAGTTCTTAGGGCCAGGTGTGTTGGTGTGCACCTGTAGTCTCAGGACTTTGGGAGGCCGAGGCAAGGAGGCCAAGGCAGGAAGACCACTTGAGCCCAGGAACATAATGAGACCCCATCTCTACAAAAAATGGAAAAGTTAGCTGAGTGTGTTGGTGTACATCTGTAGTTCCACCTACTTGAGAGGCTGAGGCAGGAGGTTTGCCTGAGCCCAGGAGTTCCAGGCTGAAGTGAGCTAAGAAGGTGCCACTTCACCCAATGTGGGAAACAAAGTGAAGCCTTGTAGAAAGATGAAATAAAAGAAAGAAAGAAAAGAAAAAAAAGGAGAGAAAAGAAAAGAAAGGAGAGAAAAGGAGAAAGGAAGAGAAAGATCTTAGCAGCACTGTTTGTAAGAACCACAAAGAAAAGATAAACAACTGAAGATTAATCATACGATAGAACACTGCACAGCACAGAAAAAATGTGCTGTCTCCATGGATAAACCTCACACACAGTGTCGAGGCAGAAAGAGAGGTAAGGAAGAATACATAGTTTGTTGCTAGCTTATAATGCTTTATAAATTGAAAACAATACTATGCATGCACTTGAGACCCACCATGAAAATGTTAAAAAGTCAGAAAATACATAGAATTAAGAGACATTGAATTTAAGGTCAGGTTAACGCTGAGATTGAAAGGAGGAAAATTAGATCAAAGAGAAATACAAAGGTGGTCATAATTCTATTTGTAATATTCCACTTCTTAATCTAAGTGTTGGGAAGACAAGGGTTGTTTCCATTAGTCCCGTCTTATTCATGGGAGATGTATTCCAAGGTGCCAAGCGGATGCCTGAAACAGTGACTAATATGGGACCCTGTGTATACTATGTTTTTCTATATATTCATATTTTTATGATAGTTTAATTTATAAATGAGGCACAGTAAGAGATTAACAATAATAATTACTAATAAACTAGAACTATTATAACATTCTGTAATAGAAGTTATACGACTGTAATATCTCTCTCTAAATATCTTATTGTACCAGACTTACCCTTCTTCTAGTGATGATGTGAGATGATAAAATGCCTTTGCAATGAGATGAAGAGAGGTGAATGACATAGGCATTGTGATGTAGTGTTAGGCCACAATTGACCTTGAACACAAACACTGAAAATACTGGATGCCATTACAGTTGATTTGATAAGCAAGTAGCTCTGCGATGACTAACAGGTGGGTGGCGTCTACAGTGTAGATATGTTGGACAAAGGGATGATTCACGTCTTAGGCAGGATGGAGCAGGAGGATGAGAAATCTCATCACGCTCCTCAGAAGAGTGACATTTAAAACTGATGAGTTGTTTATTTCTAATATTTTACAGTTAATATTTTTGGGCCATGGTTGTCTGTGGTTGTTGTAATCTTGGAAAGTGAAATCACAGATAAGGAGGCATCACTGCATATTAATCTTCATGTGACATGCACAGAAATATTTAATTTTTCAAAATATATGCATTCCAAAAAGTTGAATATATTTTAGTTTTGCTGAATTGAAAATTCTAAAATAGCTTTAAATTCTTAAACAAATGACTCAAAAGTAGAGTCCCTCCAATTGAGATTTTTATTGATATTTATTTTTTACTTATTTATTTTGAGACAGGGTCTCTCTCTGTCCCCCTGGCTGGAGTGCAGTTGTGCTATCATGGTTCACTGCAGCCTTGACCTCCTCAGCTCAAGTGATCCTCCCACTTCAGCCTCCCAAGTAGCTGGGACTAAAGGCAAGTGCCACCACACCCAGTTAAGTTTTTTAGTTTTGTAGAGACAGGGTCTCATTATGTGGCCCAGATTGGTTTCAAACTCCTGGGCTCATGCAATTCTCCCATCTTGGCCTCCCAAAGTGCTGGGATTATAGGTGTGAGCCACTGCACCTGGCCCAGATGAAGTTTTAAATTTCACTAAAGAGAAACTATCTAGCTCCTTAGAAATCATTTAAAAACCATATAAGGCAATAGGCAAAGCACTGTCAATTATTTACATGATTTTCGATAAAGAAAAAAGGAATTTCTAGAAAGGAAAAGATCAGCATGAGGTTTATTCAGAAGGGAAGAAACATAAGGGGTTGGGAGAACAGGCTGCACTTTCTGTTGGAGTTTGAGTATCTAAATATCCTTGTACCTGCCTTTCCTGTCGTTGGTTCCATCTCCACAAGCCAAGTAAATTGGCAGGTTGGCTTACCAAAACAACTGATACGAAAAAATATTTCAGAGTGATTTGCCCTTGTTCCCTTCTTTGATCACAGAAACCCACTTAAAAAGCATTATTCTACACATACCTTAGTAAATTCAATGACATTTGTTTCTGGCTGCTTCAGCTACCATGATGACTGCGAACTGTACACTGTCCTCATCACCCAGGCTACTTGCCATGCCTGCTATGTGAACACACGACTTTGTTTTTTCAGTCCCAAGTCCCTTATTCAGGACCAAATTACGAACAGTGCTGTTAGGGACTTTTCAGAAACCTCTGGATAGATGGGTCTCAGCAGCCTCCTGGGGTCCACCTCACAGAATCTGATGCCTGTTCATGCCCAAACTACTGCTTCCTTGTGAGCTTTTAATAGCATCAACATTGCCAAGACTTGCAATAATCCTTAAAAGCCTTCCTATGAAGGGAATCCAATTTGTATATGTTTGAAAAAGACAATGAAAGAAAACATGCTGGACTATGAACTCTCAAGGTATTTTTCCTCTGGCTAACAGAAATGAGAAACTTTTGAAAATATCTGCTATCGTTTTTTGCAAATAATGAATGTGACTTTAAACTTGAAAAGCCTCATCTACCCTACCTCCTTCTAATTGCCTGGATGATAATGATGTAAATGCAGTTATAATTACAAATAACTTCAATTCAATTTAATTTTAATTATTTAAAATTTGTAAACACTCCAGAAAAATCTCATTAAGCTGGTTGAACCAGCTTGCTTTCAAGAGGGAACAGGGAGTCAACATTTACAATTATTCATATTACAACATCCATTCACTTACACTAACCATTCTGATTAACCAGTAATCACACTCATTTGGAGCAAGCAGCACTGGCAAAGCTTGTTACAGTTTTTAAAAAATGATTTGCAAAGCTGCATATATAAAATGAAGCCCATATTCAAAAGCAGAACTTTGGCCTGCATGCACATTGAAGAATGGAAAGAAAAATCCTCACAAAATGTGTGCATTAAAAAGCTTTTACTTGTAAAACTGAGGTCTTACAATCCCTAAAGATTCGGGTTCAAGGCTCCTTTGAGTATGAGATAACTGTGGTCTGCATACCTTCCACAGCGCCTCACTGTGGTGTGAGCCTTACGGTCAAAGGAGGACCTAAGTCCGACGCACAAGGCATATCTTTATAATCAAATTGCCCCGTGGTGTAGCAGTGAAAGGAGCACTGGGTTGGACTTGGAGACACCTGGCACATACGATTCACTACTTGTGGAAACTGGGGTGCATCTTCTAGCCTCTCTAAATTGTTTTTCTTAGTAAGATAAGCCAAACCTGAAGAGCTGCTGCACAGACTTTTGGGTGCAATTAAATGTGCCTGGTATATAGAAGGTATGTAGCATATGTAGTCCATTGCATTAAAAAGGCCGAAACAATAAGGGTTAACCTTTGGTTACCGTGTCCATAGTTACTAACATTCTAGTGATTGATAACTGAATATATTTTAACTAAAACACTAAGTTTTCAGAAGCCATCACCACTGGTTTATAATGGATACTTGTTTGTATCATGTGAAGGCCACATGTGGATAATTTTTAGAATTAACAAAATGTTGTCCTATGTCAGAATTATCTGCACAGTATGAGAGTTTATTAAGCAAATTAAAATTCAACCTAGTAATATACCACTCATTTTACCAGACAGGTTTTCCTCTGTTATTGAAAGTTTAGCACTTCCTATAGATACCTGGAATAGAAATAGAATAACAATTGTTATTACTACTCAGTTTTAAAAAAGCCTTTTCAATTTCTAAGATGGTTTTAATATGCATAGATTCAGCTTGTCCCCGTAACTTGTAGATTTGGTGCCATCACTCATAATGATTAACAGTGTTTGGAGCAGTGTAATCACTGGATAAAGGGAGCAGAGACCTAAGGGCAGGGGTCAGACTTTGAACCCTGTCTTTCTGGTCTCAACTCTCATGCTCTTTTCTGGATTTTGAATTCTCCTGTAAACACACTATGATCAACCAGACCTCCATTTCCATACATCTATAACAGTTAAAAAGAGTAAAGCCTCCATTATCATCTAAAGTGTAAAGAGACATCGGATTTCCAAATGATGGCAACAGGGAGGAATAACTATTATTCTATCAACTAAATGACTGTGTAATCTCTATATCGCTGCAAAAACACTCAATTGAGGTTTTCATTTGGGTGTTTCTTTGTTCTCAAGTTCTGCAAACAGAGCTCTGAAGAATGTGAGCACAGGCAAGCTTTCCAGAGTACACCTAAGCAGTCAGTGGTCATGAGGTGTAAGTGGTAGAATATACTAACTGGTTTATTTCATTTCCCTTAGGAACACATTCATACAGTGAATCCCAGCCAAGAGACTGCTGGAGATTCCACTCCTGCTCATCTCAGTCACCTAGACGTGCGCTTGTGGCTCCAGGGTTCCAGCATGTGACGGTCACTCAACCTCAATCCCAGGTCATCTTTCCAAAATCTGACCCAGGGAAACTTCACCGTGAACGCTGAACACCAACCATGCCTAATTCCCTGGCCTGGTGCTAAAGCCAAATGATGTATTAACCTGGCCCCGAGAAGTTCCAACAGAATGGGTCAAAGGAGACATTCATAAATAGGTAATTGGCAGTTTGGCCCAGTATACTAAGGCACAATAGATAACACATCCTTTTGAGTTGAAGGGAGGTAGTTATCACCTACGGTGCTGGCCTTTCCCTTTTCTGACCACCCATTGCTCTTCCTGGCAATTCACAATTTAGCACCTACTGGGTTTCTTACAACTCCTCCAATGTTCTTCCTATATCTTTGGTCAAAGTGGCACTTGAGGGGAGAGACTGGGTGTCATTCTTCTCCAGGATTCCCCACAACACTTGGCATGGCCTTAGTTACAAAACCAGGGCTCTACAGAGGCATATCAACTGACTGTGTGCAGAAGACTCAGTGGGTGGGAAGGGCAAAATGCAAAATGCAAAAAAAAAAAAAAAAAAAAGAAAAGAAAAAAATTAGGGAGAAAGCAACCTTGTTGGAAAAGGAATGACTAGGAATGGTATTTTGGTGAGGGAAAAAGAGATAGTTTTTTGTTAGGGGAGTTTATTTAGGTAGGAAAAAAAATGAATAACTTTGGCATGATTTAAAATCTGCATTTCACTGGCTAATATAATCTTTCCTATTTGTAAAATGAAAACCAAGCAAAGATGGTAATACACTTTGTACTAAATCTATTTGGGGAAGGAACAATGATATTTTCTTTCTTTGCTCAACTCAGCCTGGAATATAATACATGAAATTGTAATTCAGAACACATTATCTATGCTGCTATTCATTTTATGAAACATTAGTCTTGGCATATTTTTCCACATTTTTATATCAAAATATGACCCTTAAGATAAAGACATACATTCTCAAGGGAGTTGGTCTACACCAGTTTTGTAAAATGTTGACCAACTATTTGAGTGATGAACTGAACAAAAGGTCACTTACCTTCTTCATTTATCACCCAACAGCCTTTGATGGTTGAAAATGTTTGTTAACCTTTCTTTGTCTCAATTTTATCACCAAAAAGAAAGAGGGATAAAAGTGTTTGCTTTGAAGTATATGCGCGACTTAACACATTTGTGAAATTCTTTGAGATTCTCAGATGGAAGTGCTGTTGGAATCATTAAAATTTAGAGAAACTTAGCAATTTGAATCCTTTAATACTCTGAAGGTAAAGTAATCAGATTAACGGATTTTTTTTTCTTAATCTTGTCAAGAGTATGGGTTGTTCAGGATCAGACGTTTTTCACTTCTTTACTAAAGAAAACTGACTTGAAACGTGGTGAAGAGAAATAAAAGCCAACCTCCTAATTATTCCCTCTGTGTGGTCCTCAGAGACTACTGCTGATCTGGGGTTAAACTTATTCTTTAACTAATTAAACTCGTTTTCTTTAATTAAGCAGCCCTAACGACCTTACTTTATAGACAGCTGGCTTCATTACAATCAGAGTAACTTTCTTATATTGAACACAAGGCAGGTGAGGAAAGATCACAAAGGTCTTAGGAAATTACCTTTACAGAAATTATTTTTCATCTCATTTGCCAGATGAACATTTAGTTAAAGAGCTGCTATTGAGAAACAGGAAAGGAACGTGGGCTGGAGCAGTCCCAAGATTCAATTGGTCAAAATTAAAGCAGGTGCTGGGCTCTGTAGGTCCCGGGAACCCACGGAGGATGGATGGTTTGCCAGCACTCACAGGATGCCAAACCCAGGCCTGCAACACGTCCTCACGCTGAGCACCTCAAAGCATTAACAGAGACAGGACGTATGGATTAAAGCTCATGAAAAAACAACCGATCATTTATTTTCCAATACACTGTGAATATTTAAAAGAATAAAATCATCTGCTATGCCTGAGGTGATTTAATCATGTTTGAAGGTACTCAGATGTATCTCCCCTAAGTTACTATCAAACATTTTTAAGCATGGGTTCTAGAAAGTGGTAGGCTTTCAAAATGTATATGAAGAATGCTGCATAAATATGGTTAAAAGATAATTTATTGACCTGATTCAATACCCTCAGTTTGTAGATGAGAGGAGTGAGGTCTAGAGAGATTAAATAAAATATCCAAACTCAAAACGGACAGAGTACCAGGAATTATACTAACACTGGGACTATAATAATGAACAAACTGCACTTTCTGTATGCCTACTAGCTGCCTCTCCTTGAATATTTGTGACAAAACATTTGTCATTGGTTGTCATCAGCAGTGCAAGTTAAATTTCTTGGTTTACAAGTTAGAGCTTCAGTAAACCTTGCTTTCACTTTTCATCAATGACAACATAAACACAACATTAAACCAAATCCACCTCTGTCTTCTCTGTGCCATTTACAGTAGTCAAATTAGGAAACCATGAACTATAATCACATAGCAGACCCCCTACCCCAGTCTGGAGCCAGTCCACAACTACCAGGACATTCTGACACCAAAGCCGACAGTGGGTGATGAATGAAGGGACAAAGGGTCAGTTTTCTACCTTTCTAGAAAAGTATATTGAGGTGGAGGCAGGAGATGGGCAAAGGGTATAAAAAATGGAGAGTTTGATGTAAAAAACATGTATATTTAATCTAGGTAGGATAAAAACTCTATTTTCTTCCTTGCATTGATAAACAATGTAGAACATTCAACAAATAGAACAATTACATTAAAATGGTCTCTTTAAAAGGGCAAAAGAAGAGAAAATTCTAAGAAAGCAGTAATTAAAAAGAATGGTAGGGCAAAAAAAATCAAAATCAAAAGAATACTCCTAATGTTTTGGCATGGTCCTTCGGATAGCGTGTGAGAGGGAGAGCTAAAAAACAAAGAAAAGTGGGAGGAAAAAAAGCACAGTCTGGGGGTATATTTTAATTCCCAGTCACCTGAGCTAGAACATTCGGAGTGATAAAACCAAGTACCTACTGCACCACCCGCCCTTCATTTGGTTAGCTGGTAAACCATTCTTCACAGCTCTTTGTCTGCTCAGATCCTTGGAGAGTTTTTATTCAAGAGCAGTCAGGTCTAACTATCATTCCTCCCATAGCTTTAGTTTTCATGATTAGAATAACACTGCCCAGAAAGAAAGATGCTGTCTGCTGGAGGAGGGATTTGACTCCTGGCTGGAAGTTTGCCATCCTTGGCCTCCTTTTATCAAAAATCCTCAAGAAAATCAGTCTTTGGTCGAGTGGCAAATGGTAACTAGGATTCTAGGGATGTGCTTGCTATCTACTGGTGAACTATCCTAATCACTGTTCTATTTCCAGACTCTTGATTTTACAATTAAATGTTTCCTTCTGAAATATAGCTTGGCTACAGACATGCAATTTAAATTGTATGACTTTGCAAAGTGACCTTCAAAAAAAATCCAAAGGTTAACTTTCTTTACTCTCTGAATCCTACTGTGCCACGCATGGCCATGCAAATCAGCACTAGTCTAATCTGTTTCCCTTACCATTTCTACTGTCTTTGGCTAATTTCCATTTTCCTTTTTCAAGTTGAAGTTGCTTACAGGGTAAGATTTCAAAGCAAGCTCCGGTTCTTGGTGTCTCTGCATAACTTTGGTTTTAGTTACTAAGGAAACACTTCTTTGCTGTGCTGCTCTATAAATCCTTTAATTCTCCCTTTCCCTAATTCTTAAGTAATCCATTTAAACTGCAAAAGCAAATACGATGAGAGCATTTCATCAAATACATAGCATAAAACCCAGTAAATAAGAAACCATATATAATTTAACCTCAAAATTTCATATTAATTGCCATTAGAAATTCAAATTCAAATACTCTATGCAGGATAAATAGATGAATAGATGCAGTATATAATGAATGAAGCCAAAACACATTCCATAATCCTGTGGTGTTTATCTGTATCAAGGAAGATGGCAAAGGCAAGTCAGAGGCTGGTACAAAATTTAAGGCTAAAAGTATCTGAGCTTGCAAGAAAAAGCAGGAGGTGTCTAATTGTACACTAATTCTAAAATGCTTTGTTCCAGAATATTTACCCAGAAACTCAATTATTCCTTCCACAAATATTGATGGAGATCACACCTTGTTTAATGAAGTATTAGCAGTATGATTACATGTTACCTTCCCACCTCAGTAGGGAGAGAATCTGTAAGGAAATACCATAGAACAAAGCCAAATATGCTAAGGATTAAAGAAAGGCACAACATTTTATGAAAGATCTATCAGAGAGGGGTTTATTGCTGGCTGAGGTGTTGGAGAAGCTCTAATGTAGAGATGGACATTCCTGTGGGGCCCTGTTAGCACTGCACCATGCCAAGAGAGAGCCCGGGAGAAGAACATGCATTCCAAGGAAGAGCGTGAGCATGTGGTGTGCCCCTAAGTGTTTACAGAATGTCAAGCTGGTCAATGTCCTAGGGGAGGTAGTTGGAGTGAAGTCGCAACCAGGCCAAGGAATTTGAGTTCTGAACTTAATCCACTGACGATGAAGAGAATTTAAGGAGCTTTTAGTAGGGTTAGAAATATTAAAAAGTGCAAAAAGGAAATTCAAAACTAGAAAGTAAAGCATCCTCACGAGGTAGAATGACATATGCCCACGCTTATTAAATCCAGTTGGGATTTCCTTGGCAATCAGATGTCCAGGATGCGAGGGTTCGTTGTTCGGGAAAATCCTGAGTCACAGGCTGACACTTGTTAGAGCTTTGACCTGTAAGCGGGTGGGTATTATTGCTCCATCAAACGAAAGGAAAACCCTGATGAAAAGTGGCTACAGAACATACCAACAAAAATACCAAGTTTACACATTTCTGTAGAAGGCCTCACGGTTGTCTATTGATCTACCTCTTGAAAGTCTATTTTGGACTTTCCACATTTTCCTGACTCAGCTTTTATAATTCAAGTAATTAAATGGAGAGAAAGGAGTGAGGAATCGTGTTATCACAAAAGACCAATATAGAGAAAGGCATTGTTCCCTAAGAGTCTTGAGTTGATACTAAAATCAGGGCATATACTAGTATACTAATCTAAGAGTCAAGGGAGAACTGTAGTCCAATCAGCCAGAAGGGAATCTGAGTGAATCATCAAAAAAAAAAAAAAGAATGGAAAACAGATATCAAAGGTGATACACAGAGCCAAGAATTAGGGTGCCTGGAAAAGAAGTAGGAAGGAGCTAAGAATGGAGAGTTAGCTCTAGTTTTAAGTAACATCCAGAAGCAGTTCATTTTTATCTTAAAGTATGGAATGAAATAGGTCAGCCACCTTGAAAAGGCTACAAGATGGTGTGCTGTAAGATACCAGCTTAGATGAAGATAAATGAATATCTGGAAAGAATAGATACTATGAAAGAATAAATAAGCTATTTTGGATAGATTCCATAAAAAATTACTAATGTCAAAATAAAGCAATATAGCAATATAGACATAATGGCTGTAGCTAATTTAAGCTCTGAAATGCACACAGAGGATGAAATGAGAATGTCGGGCAACATTTGCTGCATTATTTAGTCATTCTACTAGTTATTTTCTCTCCACATCTCATTATAATAGCCAGATGCAGAGCTGTAGGAAAACATGACTCCCAGCAATGGCACCTGTCCTTTTGGTGAGTAATTCAAAAGTACAACTGGTCTTTTTGGAGAGATTTCTGAATTTTCCAGCTGTCCAGGCTGCTCCTGAGGTTTGCCTCCCTCCCTTAGAGGGTGTTTATTTTATCATGAGCTTTAATTATGGGAACAATAAATGCTGTCTTCTTAAAAGTACTTGCATCAGTTATTAAAAGAATATTATGAGAGAGGGAGAGGCAGGCACTCATCCCTGTGCTGATGCTTCCATCCGTCCCTCCTCTCCCTATTTTCCTATGTTACCTACAAGCAGATGACTCTTGAATCCCCAACATTAACTTGTAGTTCAGGCAGAAAGTTGCATGACTGAATACTCTGATGTGGATTCTTTTGTCTGTACCACTGTCTCTATGGCCTGCTCAACTGAAATATTTGTTTGTTTTATGCCTATCCAGAGCATCGCTATTCCTTAGTGTCCAGGTCAATTCTGGCTTCTTCATGAAAACTTTCCGTAAAGCCATATCTTCTTTCTAAATTCCAACATTCCTCATTCCTTTTTAAAAAATTTACCTTTCCTTACAATCCAACATATTATTAGTTTTAAATGATCTTATTATATATTTCCATGTTTTCCTATTGTTCTCCATTGTACCCAAAATGATCTATAATAGTTATTCAGTAATACTTACTAATAAATTCTAAAATTTCTTCTTTAAAATATTAGGGGTCGAGTTTTTAAAAAGCTGATTTGCTTCTCTTACTGCAAAATCTTAGTGTCTATACTTACTAATTTTCATTTTCAGAAAAGACTTGTGCCAATTACATATGAAATGATATAAGTCTATATGCAGGACTGTGCTAAATATGACCATGATAAAGGCTACATGGGCTTCTTTTAGTCTTTAAATCAGCAAGTATTTATTAAACACATATTATCAATGACAAGTAGGAAATCTTTTCCTTGGATTTTTTTTACAAGTACTATATGGGAGTGCACATTTGACACCATGATAACTTTTCTGAAGACAGATCTCTCAGGCAATTTTGTTTGAAAATTTTTATCAATTACACTTAGATCTGTAGCTCCAAAGTTGAAGCACACAACCATGTTCTGTTGTATTCCACATCATTTTATTGTGATTTGAAGATATTGTGTGTGCATGTGTTTTTAAAAAACAAATTCAATGGTTTGTGGCAACTGTGAATTGATCAAGGGTAGTGGCACTATTTTTCCAAAAGCATGTACTCACTTCATTGCTCTGTCACATTTTGGTCATTCGTGCAGTGTTTCAAACTTTTTCATTATTAGTACATCTGCTATGGTAATCTGTGATCAGTGATCTCTGACGTGTCATTGTTTTGGAACTCCACAAATCGTGC